CTTGTACCAAAAATACAGTGTGGAATCAAGCTGTAATCAAAAATAAATATTCAGTTGTTTACGACCAGGAACTTAATTTAAGCTTAATCACTAAAACTCTGATGCAAAACTACACACTGTTTACAGTGTTTAACAAAAGTATACCAATATTTTAAGTCTAAAATCAAATTTTTATGACAGTTCATCGCAATTTTGATGCCTGTTTCACGACTCATATGATTGGACAAAGTTTTTTAAAAACAAGAGATGTCCCTTTATATATAAACCTTATATATATAAATCTTTATTTTAATTTCCATTAATTTCCCTGAAGAAGCTCGGACCAGTTTGCCGAACCACAGGAGACGTTGGAATTACTCACTTCAATTTCTCTGAGATTTTAAAAGTATAATTTTTACATATGTCTACATCTCACTCGGTGCCCAACTATTTTGGAACTTTTTCGATCAAATCTTGATCACAGTTCATATGAACGAACTGATGTTTAAAACGACGGCTCCCTAGATTCTGGTCTAAGTAGAAACCCCACCATTCACTAGAATGGTGCTACCAGACAAGATGGGAGACTCATCATGGACCCCAATGCCAACAACCATCAACCAAATAACTTCAGCTTGATTTTATGCCAGTTGGATTAAAATATTCCGTTATCATTCATAGTAAAATGTTCTGTAAAGTAGACAATGAATTCTCAAGAGCTTATTACCCACAAAATGAAAAGCTATTAATGCTACTTTCACGGAAATGAATTAAAAATGCCTTTCAGATTTGTGTATGTAAAGCCACACATATCATCTGATTACTTTTAAGAGTTAACTTAACTAAAGAATTGCACTTCATGAGTTGGGAAGAACTTCACAGTTTAAATTTTCTGTTTTTGAAATCACTGAATTTCTCCTGTCTAGACAATACGAAAATAAACACAGCTGGTGATGTAACGTGATTTGCATCTGATGATGAAATACCCACCATGAAATACCAAACCTTGGATAACATCAAACTATTTCCACAGATATATCCTGTGGTTGTATTTACTATATAGAGAAAATCAAAGCGATATTTTCATTCCAACCTAATGTTTTTTAAGATTTTTTAATACACTTTTGAGAAATAAAAAGAATTTTTCTAATGTACTTTTAAGTGAGAATTTCGATGCATTTAGAGGCCACTTTTATCATAAGTAAAGACTCCTTAGATAACCGGAGTAAGTCAGATAAATGCTCTTCAGCCTCGATAAATAGGTTGAAACCAAGACCAGATATCATACGCCTGGTTTCTTTAATTAAATAAAACAAAGGGAGAAAGGCAAAGGGAGGCTAATATGATCAAAATCACAGTGACCTTGGACAACCAGTCAGAATTCAGATGCAGAAGAGTCGAATAATCATTGAAACGTTCACTAAAAAATATTACAAAAATGGTATTACACTGCATAGTTGTAGCTTGTATTGTAAGAATGATCCATAGATAAATCTTACTACAAGAGATATATCCATTCATCCAGGTGGCTGTAAGTCATTGTACTTTTAGATCCATTGAAATTTCTTACACTATTCTTGAAGTTACTCCTAACTCCAACCACAATCCTAACTTTAATCCTTAACTTTAAATCTTAAAAGCCATAACCTCACCTAACAGTATAGATTTACAAGGAAAGTAGTCAGTAAACAAGTAGAATACTGTATCTATCCTCTCCAAATCCAAAAAGGCAGGCATAACTTGATTCGGAATGACATTTCATACCATTCCCTGTATCTGATCGGTTCTTGAAGGTCAACTTTTGAAGGACCTTGAATTCGGCTATGACACTTTAACTTTGCAGGGAGAAAGAAAGTATATGCAGGATGAAAAAAGAGTTCATGTCTTTTACTTCACAGTTTTATCAGCTGCTAAAAGCCTAAAAATGACGAATTATTATAAATACAAAGATATAACGGTATACTTCAAAATTATTTCAAATCGTTAGGCATAATAATGGAACAAGTGATATGATTAGAAGATAGTTGATAATCCCACAAACAAAGTTCATTTATACATAATTTGATGAAAACTCCAAGAAAGGCTGAGGTTCAGAAGAAATGCCAAGTAAGAGTAAAATTACTATGTAAACAAACAAAGAAGTTAATAGGTAGAATAATAATGAGTGCATCTCAGTGAGTTTTAATTAAAACAAAAAATTGTGGCGTAATAAAAAAAACACAGAAATAGAAAACAGACATTTAGTGATCAGGATAGTGCAAGATTATTCACACTATCTTTCTGTATACAAAGATTAGGTTGAAATCCTTTGAGAGCACTGGCTTCAGTAAAGCAAAGTAGACAGAATTTTCACTCTTTATATTGATTATTCAGAAGACTTGACAGATTTCGACTGTATAACCTGCGTTAATCAGGTGCTTATCATTTGCACTTGTAGAAATAAACTCTGGAGGCTAGACTTCCAATTATCTTGGATTCACATCTCTTGTTCCAATATTATCCCTTTTGAGTTGAAAAAGTTATGAAGTAGGAGAAATTCTCATGTCATGTAATTAAAACATTATCCAAGTGTTGGTTTGTAGGAATTTGATTGGTTTCAAAATTTCACCATGAGCTGACATTAGTTAGAGAACCATTGTAAGACCTTGGAGTACTGGACAGCTGTTTCGTCCTAGTTAGGGACTCTTCAGCAGTACCCACCCACCGGGATTCGAACCCAGGACCTTCCGGTTACAATGCGACCGATCCCGTAGACCATTGAGCCACTGGGACCCGATCCAATGGTCCTTGAATTCTAACTTCTGCCAATTCACGATATAGCGCGACCGCTAGCCAATGTCTTCGGCGAGTATTTGTCCTCACACCCGACCTGCTGCACCCTACTGGTCACGACTTCCCACTGGAACCCAGGTAACTACCTACCTGAATAGGGCCAGTCGCCAGCATCTTATTGGTATTCAGCTCATGGTGAAATCGTGAAACCAATCAAATCCCTACAAACCAACACTTGAATACTAATAAGATGCTCACTGGCGACTGGCCCTATTCAGGTAGGTAGTTACCTGGGTTCCAGTGGGAAGTCGTGACCAGTAGGGTGCAGCAGGTCGGGTGTGAGGACAAATACTCTCCGCAGACATTAGCTGCGGTCGCGCTATGTCGTCAATTAGCAGAAGTTAGAATTCGTGGGCCATTGGATCGGGTCTCAGTGGCTTAATGGTATACGAGCTAGCTCGCCTTGTAACCGGAAGGTCCTGGGTTCGGACCCCCGCGGTGGGTGGGTACTGCTGAAGAGTCCCTAACTAGGACGAAACAGCTGTCCAGTACTCCCAGGTTTTCTAATGGTTTTCTAACTAATGTCAGCTCATGGTGAAATCGTGAAAGACATTATCGTTGTCATGGCGTTAACTTTGTTTTCTTAAATTCTTCTATAATAAACTGTATGTAGTTTTTTTTAAATTTCTGTAGCCCGTTGCCAATCCTTTGTTCTTTTTTTCCGACCGAATATTTCCAAATGATTATTTCTCACTTAACTAGTTAGTTGTCAACCCTCTTAATTGCTTAAGTTTATTCACTACTATTCACACATTTTTACTACTGACAAACTTTGATTTAAAGTCAACTGGTGGATGATGACTAGCAATGAAATTCAGGACAGCGCGCATTTTGTCCTATTTGGGACTCATCACTTCGATGTACCCACATTCCTCAGTCACTGTGTAATGGTGTTTCCCTTTAGGCCCATAGTTTCAAACGCCCAAGCGTTATCCACTAGACCACTTGGGCCAAAAGAGCTGACAAGTCCCATATAGGACGAAATGAGCATTCCGGATTCCAATGCGAGTTAACATCCACCAATTGACTTCAAGTTACATGACCAAACATCTTTGAAGCATCTGGCACTAGGAGCCGATTTGTCGACCTAAGACTGAGCAATACGGTCCACTCAACCGACGGGAAAATCTAAATTGAATTAAACTTTGATTTACTTACCACATTCTCCTCAGTTTTCATATTTTCGTGAAGTGAAGCTGATAATTAATTTAAACGAATTTGAAATGAATCATTTTCTATCAAAACTCTTAGTTAAACAAATAATTATAGCCCGTTAATAAGTTGCTTGGAGCATTATTACCGATTGTTTCGGCCATGCTGTGTATACACAATGGGGTTTTACGTAGTGATCTGCAGAAGCTAAGAGTCCTTATTCATTAGTTTATGACCACTTGACTGTGAAATAACATACCATCAGCATTATATGACTGTTTAAGCTTCGATTCTAAACGAATCTGAGTAGTATTTATACTGAAAATTTCAGACTATGGTATAAAAGCTTCAAAGTGCTCACTCTTCAACTACCTTTTAACTAGTGCAGTAATAAAGACCACATTTAGATACCTCTTTAGGTGATCAATTGATTATTATTTTATTACAGTCCCCTTGGGCTCTAAGAGGAACATAGGGGTTCAACAACAAATCCACACTTTGTCCTGTTCATTCCTGTTACCTTCAGCTAGCTCCACGATTGCCCATAATCTCTCATTCCCTCCTCACCGTCCAACCAACACCAAACTGGTCATTTCCCATTCCAATTCCACTCGAGCGATGGCTGTTGGGTTTGCGGCTTCTGCTTCGTCCGGAATTGTCTGACACTTTATGCTTCTTGACTGCATTGCATAGCGAATTTAGTGGGACATCAGCCAGATGCAAACGATCGAACCAATCAAGTCCCAAAAGATTTAAATCACTCTTGGTGACGTAGCAGATTCCTCTGAATTTAATGGTATGGAATGAAACAGAACATTTGAGTTCACCAATTAGTTTGAGCCGCCCACCACAGGCGCTGACAAGAGTCTGAGAAGTATTTGTGATAGGTGGTCTGCCAATATAATTCCAAAGTTTCTCTGATATAACAGTAATATCAGAGGCGGTATCTAGCTGCAGACGTGTATCATGACCATTCATCTGAAGATCAAGATATTTCCGCATACCTGGTGTTGTGACTTGACAGGTTGCGACTAGACTCATTGACTTTTTTGGGATTTAGGACCAACAGTTTGTCGAGCTTTTGCTGGATTTTGATATCTGGGTTTGCGTGGCTGACAAAAACCATTTTTATGACCGATGATTTTGCACTTGCTGCAACGATGATTTTTGTACGGACAAGACTTTACAAAGTGCCACGCGCCACAATGCCAGCATGGTGATGGTGGGGTCTTCTTTGCAGCAATTTGAGAAGTTGGACGAGTATGTGTAGATTTACGCGGAACATTAGGAGAAGGTGGGTCAGGACTGGATGATGAGAGATTTTTGCTCTTTCGTAATGCATGAATATCAGAGCTTCTCGAAGGTGTTGATTCGACCAGGTGTGTGTCTTTCTGCAAATTAATCAGCCGTTGATATTCATCAGCTATGTCATGTAATGTTAACTTAGGATTTTGTTCTAGCTGATTGAGCAGTCGAGTTCGGATATCTGTGAAACGAGGAGATTGAAGACTGCATATGAGAATCAAGGCTTTGAATTGATCATCTGTTAAGGACCTGAGTCGAAATCTCTCACATTCTCGGTTGACTGTGCCAACGTGAGTAAGAAAATCATCATTTTCATTCATTGTCAGCTTGAGGAAACGATAACGTATGCTGAATAATGAGGAGTGGTCTCCAAAATGTTCACGCAGCAGCTTTATTGTATCATCGAAACACTTGTCACGTGGTTTTTGGGGTAAAATTAGGTTGCAGTACCTCTCATATTCTGCGGGACCCAATTTACGTAATAACACTCGCACCTTCCAAGCATCGTCTTGTGAGGCGAGATCAACTGTGAATAAATCCTCATATCGTTGATACCATGTGTCAAAAGTGACATTCGCATCTGGATTATAATTGAACTGTGAAATACTATTCACAATGCCGTCGACAGATGGTAGCATGGTATGATTCAGATTGCTTGAAGGTGAAGTTGGACCAGTCTGTTTGTTGACGAACATTTCCATTAATTTCATTTGTCGTTCAAATAGTAATTCCAATTTAGAAGGATCCATAGTTTTCCCCGTCGCCAAATTATTGTTATGTACTGGTCGAGAATTTAATAGTCCTGACGCAAGAAAGACGGAAATCAGAAGACCACTAGGTTTGCGATGATACTTCTATTTTCCAAAACACCAGGAGAATCAATATGTCACACAAGAGTGTGAGAGCAAATATATAGACTGTCAAACAAAACACACATATTATATGGATATATATCAGAAATGTATTTGAGTATGGATATTTACAGACAACAGTCTCATCCTGGTGTATTGGTAGTGGAGAGGTAGAATGCTCGCCAGCCACTCCTTATAGTCTGGGGGTTCGAAATCCGGCTGACTCACTCCCAAACTTCTCGTAGCTAATAATGAGCTCGGCACAAAGGAAAGTTTGGTTGTGAGACTAGCAATACAACCCCGTGAAAATGAGACCACTGCTACGGAAGCTTCAAAGCTGTATCTTGAATGCCTATAATCCTTCGGGAACGCAAAGGAATAAAATAATAACAATAAGTCTCATAAGATTTCGTAGTTTTCATTTGATAGTTTACTTATTTAGCCTTTGAAAAAACGTTTTTACACTAAAAACCACAAGTATCTGTTTTTGTCAAATATATCAAATCACTGGACATGTAGACTGCCGGACAGACATCATTCGTACATAATTCTACATGTTCCACTAGTGATTACATTTAATAACGTCTAGGAATATTGATAATAATCTGTAAAATAAATTTCGTGGTGAAAGTGGCTCTTTAGTTAACTCATTCGCGAACTTGACTACTGTTGTATCAGAATGCTGATACTTGCACATGTTTTCATATTCATGCTAAATCATGTAATATTCAAGTGTTAGATTGCAGGGATTTGACTGGTTTCACGATTTCATCATGAACTGACATCGGTTAAAGGACCTGGGAGTACTGAACAGCTGTCTCATCCTAGTTTAGAACTCTGCATCAGTATGCACTCACCCTCAGAGTTTCAGCCCAGGACCTTCTTGTTACAAGGCCAGAGAGCTCGTAGATCATTAAGCCCCTGGGATCCTATCCAATGGTCCATGAGTTCAAACTCCTGCCAATTCATGAAATGGCGCAACCACTAGCGAATGCCATAATGAAATCCTGGAACCAATCAAATCCCTACAAACCAACACTTGAATATCATTGAGATGCTCACTAGCGACTAGTCCTATTCAGGTAGTCATTTACCTGGGTTTCAGTGGCAATTCGTGAGCAGTAGGGTACAGCAGGTCAAGTGTGAGGACAAACACTCGCCACGAATGATATTGGCTAGTGGTCGCCCCATATCATGAATTGGCAAAAGTTAAAATTCATGCACTGGCCATTGGATCGGGTCCCAATGGCTTAATGGTCTACGAGTCACCTTGTAACTGGATGATTTTGGGTTCGAACCTCAGTGGGTACGCGCTGCTTAAGAGTTCCAAACTAGAATGAAACAGCTGTCTGCAGTACTTCTAGGTCTTCCAATGGTTCACTAACGGATGATGAAATCCAGAAATAAATCATATAAACTTACAATACTTATATCGGTGTTTCTAGTCGAAAAGCAACATGTATATTAAAACCAGACTTAGTATCCTGACCTTAGTTATAAATTTTTTTAAATAAGCTGTTGGTTTTATTTATTTTTATGTATTTTTAAACATGTGTTTGCATCCTTGATAAGAGCATTTTTATTCTGGTAATGTTTATGTCTTTGCTTCTTTAATCTGATAAAATTAAATTAAATCACCTGCCAAATACTGAATAGGCTTCAATGATAAACAAATAATTAGAGATATAACATGTTATATGCATAAAGACACGAATTTTATTATCACAGTGGGTCAACATTTTCTTCTAATAAGCAATTTAAACACATAGATTACATAAATACAAACGGACGAAATTACTGCTGTCACATAAACATCTTTATTTTACTGTCATACAATTATATAAACAAAAGCATTCATTCTCCTGCGTATATGTAGTCTGTTTCGATAATGCCCTTTGATATAGTAGTCACATGTCTCGTGTTCTATTTATATGTGATTGACTATTGATTCATACTGATGGCCAGCCAACTCTTTTTAAAAAAATGCAACGTAATGTCTGAACTATTTAAACAAATAAAGCCATTTAATATTTAACAACTTCATAGTATAAAATGTATGTATTTGAATAGATAAGACTTGATGTGAATGCATTTCTGTAATACTTAAAATTCAAGGGTTGTTATTGTAAACATATTTATTCCTCTCTCTCTCTCTCTAACACACACACACACACTCTTAATTATTCTTTGAGAAATTTAAGTATTAGGCGATATGATAAATTCATCGTTAAATGTTAATTCACAGTTTCACATAAATATTTCAAAGTACTGTTTTAGAATACAACTTTATGGGTAGATTTAACGTTCAAAACCCAAAATAATTAGATACAAACCTTATAAAACGTAAACTTGTTTAACTATTATTAAATGAATAAGTAATATTCTCTAGACATCTCAAAGATTTATGTGACTTCGATTGATCAATTTTTTTTGACTAAATGAACAACTCTCAGACTAATGTAATGAGTACAAGTTTGATCGCGGATTTATATCAGTTAGAAAATAATTGAATACCAGGGAGCTCGGCATAACTGTTTCATCCTACTTTGGGACTCTCCAACGGTAAACACCCTACTGACTGGCTACAGGACGAAGTTGCTTGGAGTTCTGCTGAGAAACTGTGACCAGTGAAGTCTACCAGGTTAGTTATGATGACAAATACTCACCGACGACACTGGCCGGTGGTCACGAATTCGAAGTTGGAATTCACGGACCATTGGGTCGAGTCCCAGTGGCTGAAGGGTCAATGAGCTTGACTTGTGATCGGGAGGCCCTGGGGTCTGAACCCCAATGGGTGAGTATTGCTGAAGAGTCCCAGACTAGGACGAAACAGCTGTCCAGTACTGCCTGACTTCCCAATAGTCCTCTCACTGATGTCAGCTAGTGATAGAACTTGAAACAATCCAAGTTATTAGGTCTTCGCAAGCTGCAATTCCTGCAGTCCCTTGTTGTCATTTTGCAGTTTGCATCAGTCGTTATTCCTAAGGATTTATCACTAAAACGTGGGGACAAAATAGCAGTATCTTAGTAGTGATGTGAATTTCGGGTTCTAAACAAATTATAAAATCGGAACCGTTTATGGAGTGTTTAATGTAGTTCAGACTCTGATTTCACTATATTTGTGTGTTATTCATTATTTTTCTTGTGAGAAACATGTGAACTGTTATTACATGGCTGAATGCAATCGGCCACAGGAAGCCTTCTAACTAGGTTTCGTGCTGGTTGGCTCTGACTAGTCAGCAAGGTGTGTCTGCAACCTAGGAGGAGCCCGTGTCCCTTCTCAGACTCGAATCCGCCCCACCCAGTGGGTGGTGCAGTCAGAGACGTTACCACTGAGCTATTCGGGTTTGCAATTGACTTCATGTAGGACTGTACTGAATAGTGATCGGCTATAGTCGCAAACAATGGACTAGTCACGTGACACCAGTTAATGTCTAATCAAAAGTATCTAGTACAGTCCTACAGGAGGTCAATCGAGAGCCCGAATAGCTCCGTGGTAACGTCTCTGACTGCACCACTCACTGGCTGACGTGGGTAGGAATATCAAAAGAGACATGAGTTCCTTGAACGTTTCAGATACACGTTGCTGACTTGTGAGTGCCAACCACAGGAGGAAACCTAGTTGGAAGGCTTCCTGTGGCCGATTGTCTCCAACCATCTAATATCATCAAATCAATGTGGAACGTGATGGCGAACCACCTAGAATGCTGGCCACATTGCAAACTCGACTGATAGAAATCAGTCTGCACCAGCACCACGGACTAGAGACATTACACTAGTTACTGACTAGTCTCCAATCAAAAAAATAGTGAACTGTCAAATCCAGGTTACATAACAGTCACTATGGAATTGTCTAGCCTTCTGTCTGACAACAACAGCAAGGAGATGAATTAATTGAAATGATTTTCCAGTCATCATTAGTTAAATTTGTCGGTGGGAATTTTTTATGCACCTGTGTAAAATAATTAATCAACAGGGGGAAAAAGGAACTAAAAAGATTTTTTTTTGTCTGTCTAATAAGATACCTCAAGAAATCTAAATGAAATATTCTGTGAATTTTAAATTTTATTCTGCGGTTTAAGAGGTAAGTCTTTCTCAGTGTTCATTAAGTCAGTGAGAATTATTCAACGTTTTTTTTTTTGGTCAAACAGCATGTGGTCCAAGGTGTGAACTAAAAACAGTAGAATAATTGAACTTGGATAGATAGGTAAAAGAACTTTTCATTTAGAAAACAAAATAACCTGCAACATTCATAATTTTATGCATGCACAAGAATTAGTAACTACGCATAAGGTGTTCACGCTTATTTGTCCGCTTTTACTCTATAGGTCAGAAATCATTTCACCGTAAAAACAAAATGTAGGTTTTCTGTATGCTGTCATGCGTAAATCAAATAAAGCATAATATCATCTACCCTTGATTAAAACATCTTACCAAGAGATGTGAAGCGGATAAGTTTTACTCCTCAGTTGGAAGTTTTACTTCATATTGTGATTAATTACTATAAGAGGTGTCGGAAAAGTTAACAAAGCTATAAACTTACGCAGTGCATTTACATAAGCTTTAATGGTAAAGTCTAAAATGCTCTCCACTGGTTGACATCAGTAAGAAACATGAGGAAAACTTTTATTTTCCTAAGATTTAAGGGATGCTAGCAGTACTCATATATGCAAAAAGTTCGCTTAATAATAAAAAGCGACTACTTACTGATCGGGAAAGCAAGACAAGCTTTCATTACTCTCAAGTCTGTGTGGAGATTAACACCACTACTCAGCATGAAAAATAAGATCCGGATTTTCACTTCCAATGTGAAGTCAGTGCTACTATACTGATCAGAGACTTGGCGCGTCATAAAGAGCACCTCATTCAAACTACAGACCTTCATTAACAGCTGTCTT